CTGCCTCAGAGAAGTTCTTTGTGGTTTCGAGAGTGGCTTCAGGCACTGCTTGGCTCTAGTCTAATGTGGTTAAATCTTACCTTAGTAGGTTAAGTGTAGTAAACCAAATAAGACCTGAACTAAAATAAATGAACAATCGATCATGATAAATAATTGATCATGTAATTCAAGGATAATATTCGCTGATTCTTCAGATATTTTCTGAGTATATATTAATGAATGTTAATCTATAAGTTATTTATAGCGTTAGATACTTCCACGCTCAATTACTACGTGCAGGTAAGGATCAAGGTTTGGATGAACAACCTAGACAGGTCAGTGAAGCGTGATGCTGGTAAATGGCCAAAGTTGTTTGTTTTAATTAAAATATTCTATTGAATTTATTTATTTGAATTACAAGAACGTTGAATGTTGATTTTAAAGGCTTCCGCAACGTTGAACTTATTTTACTCCGATTAAACTAATTTTTAAATAAACATGAATGGTTGTTTTATTTTTAATGTTTTTAAAATATTATGCATGTGAATATCAAATGAGGGTCTATTCTTTAGGACTAGAAAAATAGAACTGGATGTTGGAAAAAACTGGAAAGAACTGGAAGAAACTGAAAAAAACGGAAAGAATTGGAAAAAATTAGAAGAGACTGAAATAAACTGGAAAAAATTGAAAGAAACGAGAAACACTGAAAAAATTTGGAAAATCTAAAAAAATTATAAAAAATTTATTTATTTTTTTATATGATTCTCATTCTAATACTTATTATTATTATTAAGATGAGAAAAAAGTAGTGTCATTTTTCATAAAAAATAATTAGAATATAAAGTTAGTATAAATATTAAAATATTAAATTGGTAAAAGCTATTGAAGTTACGTTGTGTGTCAATTTATATATACAGTATTTATTGTAAAAAATATATTTGTAATTACACTTTATATATTATAAGACTTTATTTTAAATATTAGACTTGTCACATAATATAATCAAATCTATTTTTTTTTCTTTTATGATTTTAATTGTATTTGCATTGTAATTCTTATTTTGTAAATAAAAATCTAGTACTTACATTTGGTACATTTTTATGTTTTACTCATAGTTTATTTTTTCTCTAAAATATTTTTACTTTCAAATTTTTTTATAAAAATTTGAATAATGCTTTCCTCTTATCAATTTAGAAGAGAGTAAATCGTAAAGATAGTGACTTGATAAAAATATAAAAAATAAAATAGTTTATAAACTATAATTATGAACATAATAGTTGTAATAATATTAAAGATAATATTAATAATTATTAGGAGAGCAGAAGAAGTTTGAAGAAAATGAGAATAGTTGGAAAAATCTGGAAGCAAGTAGAAAGAACTACAAGGAACTCGAGGAAACTGGAAGGAGCTAGAAAGATCTGGAAGAAACTTGAAGTTAAGAGTTAAACCTCTAAAGAACATGCTCTTAGTAGCAACTTGATTCGTTAACTCCTTGCTTCGAGTTACGCGAGTTGGGTGTTATATGACCGGCATGACCGAAGTCATTTTCGATCAAACAAAAGAAGTGACTAGAGCGGACCACATTGTCGCGCTCGGTCCACCGAAGGTGATGCTCAGAGTAAACCCCCACGGTCACACTCGATCCAAAGTGAACAATTATCAGAGTAGTGTGCCCAACAGAGCCACCCAATATGGCCGAGTCGTTGAAGCTGTCCTTAAGGTAGTAGTGCCCGCCTATCGTACTGAAAAAACATGGGTACTTTATCATAGGATAAAACCGCTATTGTTTGAGGTGATAATATAGACCAACCATAAACCAATGAACAAGAACAGCGTTGGAACGTTGGCTACCAAAACTTGAATGGGATCGCTGGAAATTTGGCCGAAAAACCAAGAGATCTCACTAAGAATAACGATTAAAGGTTTATTTCTTTCTTTCTTTTCCCTTTTTGCGTGTAGATCACCTCTCGAAAGGGGATATGCTCCAATATATTTTAATAGGAAAAAACCAATTACAACCTATGCATAACGTGCCCAATAATACCATTAGTGGTGTAATAAGTGTTCACCACATTTTTTGAATTATTAGTGGCATGTCAATGTCTCACCATTAACATGGATCTTACACATATTTATGTTCAAAATTTATCTCATTTAATTAGAGATTAATGACCAGTTAACTCCGTAAAAATGGAATAATTTTAAAACATGTAAAAATTATAATAGAATATTGGTTCAATAAAATTACAAAAATTACAATCATTATCATATTCTTCTTTTAACGGGTTAACTTTGAGAATCAATTTCTCATTCACCCTCTACCATTTTTGACGTATAAATTATCAAAATATTTATCTCATTTAAGAGATCATATATCCTTTAATTAACGGTTAAAGCCGTTAATGGATCTAATGATATATATACCCAACTTGGTCCATTTAATACCTATCAAAAATAGCCATACAACAACCATTTCCATGATATCATGCTTCTTAATTTTCTGGCGATCTCCTTCATTTTTTTGGTCGGTAGAGCTTCAACATTATTCTTGGTCTGTTTCATATAACCACCGCACACGATAATAGTTTTGTTTTGGGAGGCGTGGTGCTCATTTTCTCCAATTTGATAGTCAAACATTATTACCTTAAAAATGGCACTGGTGACACTACTACCTTTTGATCAAATTCTGTTGTATGTTCTCATATTGTCTTGTTTAATTTGCACGACATAATACCTCACTAGAAGCCACACTATCCTCTGTGGAATCCTCTTACTTGTTCACCGCCTTCAACAAAGTGTTTGTTGTCTTATTTTTAGAGTACACTCACTTCTTTTCGAGGATAATTATCTACAGAAGTTATTTACTTCATTGATTTTAATTAATCTGAATAAATTATAAATTCATATTTATTTTAATTTATTCATTGTAATCGTACAAACTCATGCGATTGAATTATGTTCTGTGTTCTCACGAGTGCACCCCTTGTTCCTCACGAAACAAATTTTAGAAAAATACTAGAGTCTATTCATGTCTTCTAGACTTCGCTTATCACAACAAATGAGACAACATCTTTTCAAAAAAGTTATTATTTTAGGGGGGATAAGGTGCTAGGGGAGAGGGTAAGATGGTTGACTTGAGTAGACATTGTAGGGGTAGGGTGTGGGGGCACTAGGGGTAGGGTGGGAGGGAAAGGGAAATGGGGGTGGACAAGGCTGAGAGCACTAGCAATGGCATTCCGTTACTATGCTACGCACTGCCAGATCATCAAGTGGAGGCTTGGTGCCATGCGTGTCTAGAGCAAGTCACCTCTCTCTCCGTGTAGAGTGCGAGACAAATACATAGTACTAGTTTTTACCCCGTGCTTCGCACGGGCTCGCATATTTTTCTATAAATATATCTATAAAATTTTTATTATATTAAAATATAAATCTAGATTAAATAAAAAAGTGAGTTGCAATTAAAGTTGTTTTATCGCATTGCCTATTGATAGAATACATAAATATTAAACACGCTTAGCTTGTACATATGAAGGATAATACATTAATTATTTTTGAATAACTTACATAGACATTTCATTTTTGGAAATATCATGGTATATGTGGGGAGGATGTGTTTATTAATTTCTTCTATGACTCTTATCATTTTACACTTCACTAATCAAATTTATAATTTTGATAGAAAAATTTATTTAAAATCTTAAAGGAAAAGTTCAAATTTTTAATACGAATTTTAGACAACTTTTTATACACTGAAATCTTTCTCTTTATAATCTAAACTTTCATATTTATTACACTTATCATGGGAAAATGGTGCAAAAATTTATATAAACAGCTGTCTTTTTAAAAATTTAATAAAGTTTATATAACCTTTAAAAAAGTAATTAATTAATTATAAGATATTAAAATATATTTTTAAAATGATGAAGGACATATTAATATAATAATTAGAATATGAAAAGTGTTATAAGTACAAGTTTATGGTAATTAAAAGAAATAATCATGAACAATCTTTTAAATAAAAAATAAACTAATAAATGCCATGTGGACCAAAAAAAGATGACACTATGCCATGTAGATACAAATTTGGCCATGTCATACGCCACGTGTCTCCACTTCAACTAATTAACTCTCCTTTACATATATAAAGTAAGTATAGTATAGGATAGGATAGAATAGGATATACCAGGGTTTTTTTTTGTATTTTCTTTTTATCTTTTATTTTTTTTGTTTGGAGGATAAAGAAGATTCCTAGCCATTACATCTATATACTACGATAGTCCGACTTTTTTCTTTTTTTCTTTTTTCTTTTTTCTTTTTTTATTTGAAGAAAGAAAAGATTTGGTCATCAAACGCTCTCATCTATTTGTTTCTTTGTCATGATGAAATACCTGATTAAAAATTAAAATAGGAGTAATTTTTAATAACTAAAATGCTACAAAAATTTAAAAAATTACAAAAAATAACGACTTGCCACTGTATGGTGTGCCCCTCCCCTCATATGCCACTTTGAGACTGGACCATTTTTATTGGTTGCTTTATACCATGTCAGCGTGTGACATTGTTCATGCTTTATACCATTTTTTATTGGTTTCTTTTTTTGTTGCCATTGATGGTGTAAATGATCGACCGGTATATCGTTTTAGCCGGGCAAAAACGATAAACTAGTCTAAAACATACACCAAAAAATATAAACACAGGAATTTTGACGTGAAAATCCAAATCGGAAGAAAACCACATGCCTTTTTTGGCGGTACCTTGCCAACTGTGGATTTTTTTAATATCGAGGGGTTGTACACGGTATATGATTTGGGCTCGGAAGCCATTAATGGAAGCTTGAAGCTTCTTAATTTGAAGAAATAGAGTTGATGAGAAATAATACGTGGCTCGACCAACATTTTCCAATTATTTACAAAGAATAATCGAACGAAGCCTGTCTAGTAAAATGAAGAAATAAAAAGAATATTCCTCCGAAGATGCTCACCATCCTCGTTATAAAAGAACGGGTTGCCCTCAAAGTTAAGGGGACCAATTTACTCTCTTCCCTGCCCATGCATTCTTTCTCTCTCTAGATTGTATATTCTCTTCTCTTTCAAAGAGCTTGAAGCTTCACACTTTCTCCATTAATGGCTTCTACGCCTAAATCATGTACCGTGTACAACCCCCAATATTAATAAAAATCTTCCGTTGGCAAGGTACCGCCAAAAAAGGCTTGTGGTTTTCTCCTAATTTGGGTTTCCACGTCAAAATTCCTGTTTTTATATTTTGGTGTATTTTTAGACTAGTTTATCATTTTTTTCCCGGCTAAAAACGATATAGCCGTCAATAATTTACACCATTATTTTTGGCGCCACCCGTAGGACCGATCTGAGTTTTATTCTCAACCTCAGCTAACCCCATCCTTGATTTTGCAAGATCAAATTCCATCCATAGATTATGTTGATGATGGTGTCCAATCACATAGGCTTCAATCCCTAATAAATCTAAATCTCCAAATGTGAAACATTACACTTGGTCCTTTCCCTGGGTCATATCCGGAACTATGGACAGCAGCTCCTCCCTACGGATGCTCATCTCTGTCGAACATCAGGGTCACAGCTGGCAACGCCACTGCGAAACTCATCGGAGTTGATTCAAAGAGGAAGCACAGATCCATACCCCTTGGAGTAAGAAATTGGGCTCGTTCAAAGGTCTTAGTACCCCTCTGATTTGCTTCACGAATTTATTTTTCAGCTGTGTGTAGGCCGGACCGAGGAGGAAAGTGAACTGGGTGCCGGAATCCACCATGATTTGACCCGTCACCAAACCACCTCTGGATGAGATTTTTGAAGAGGCGAAGAGAACCCGGGGGAAATTAAAGAGATGGAAAAAGGAGGGAAATCCCCTATCCAACTAGGAAGAAAAGGAGGGATGTAGGAGCCGCGGAAGTCACATATTCAGCCTCCGTCACCGTCCGGCAGATTGACTGGCCTGTTCCCAGTGACGAGCTCCATGTCTGTTGACTCGGGAATCCCTTCAATGTATCCCTTGAAGATGACCTGCTTGTTCCCACCGATTCACTACCTGTCAAAAGACCGTCGTCGTGGGAAGAGACTATTCACTCCATTGTCCTTTCAGCCGTTGCCATCTCTGGCCTGCGTGTCCGCCGCCGCCCTAGGCACATCGTGTAGTTTACCGCCTTTGTGGCTCAGACTCGCAGATTTGCCTTTGAACCATTGCCACCAGATTTTGCCTCCACCGCCGTTGGAGAAAAACTAGCGACGACGATGTTGTCAACGCCCAAATTGATGACCTCGCAGGAGAAGACCACCACTGCCTTAAAGAAACAATTAGCTAAAGTTTTCCACCAAGAGGCAACAGCAAGGGGACAAAGAACGAAAAGTGTTTAGAGATGAGCGGCACCTTTGTGACAGCACCACCATGGAAGCACCTTCTTCTCAATTCTCTCAGCTCGAATTCACATTTCAAGCACGCCATCTACCTTCAGCTCGCGACAATCAGACCAAATGGCAGACCCTCAAATTGTACCGGCGTCTTCAGAGGCTTTGCAGAGGGCTTCATTATTTTGCCCGACCAAGGGAAAAGGATCAAAAGGGAATGATGGTCCACCAGTCCCACCACTATATACATGATTTCAAATGGGTCTTGGAGAATAAATTACGAAGATTGATTGACCCCACCACATGCAAAAAAGTAAGGAGCATGTGGTGCTTTGGTGAAATAGCTACATATTATGCAGACCACACGTGATGGAACAATAAAATCAAATTAATGCTTCCATGAAGTGGAAAATCTTATCTATAATTGAGGAATGGACCTACATGAAAGATTTGAGATTATATATTCATGATATTGCTCCAAGGATATCATTTCGTGATCCCTATTGGTACAAGACTCGCGATTATTGCCCGGTCAAACCGAGGTAATAATGAGTGCGTGCCTGGCACGCTGGTTACAACACCGGTCTTGCTCAGTACGATTACAAAAAATGGGAAAGGAAGACTGAGACACAAGCTGAGCTTGGTACGCTGGTTAAAAAAGTGGAAGACTGAGACACATGCCCGGCCTGGCATGCTGGTACTACACTGGTCTTGCTCGATATAATAAATTATTAAAATATATGACACAGGCCCGACCATGCACGCTGGTAAAAATCGTTCTTGTGCAGAGACAGGCCAAGGATGATATACACACCGGTCTTGCACATATTTTCTCGTAAGTCTGAACCCAATCAAATTGGGTACACCGGTGTCTCAGCTGAGCTTTTATCGGGGACGCCTGATTCTTCAAGTCTTTTATATAAGGCAATCCAGAAGTGATCTCTGCATGACATGAAGATATTTGCATCAGTTAGCTGGGCTAACGTCGATCTTCGACAAAGCTGCTGCAGCGTACTTAATTCGTATTAGGTAACGTCGATCTTTTTTTTGCTATTTATTTTTTTTGGACAAACGCATGCATTTTATTTGCATTAGCTAAAGGAATTGAAATAAACAAGTATGATATGATATAATATACATATAATTCACTAAAAAATGTATAGTATACGTATATTATTTTTATTCATCATAAAAATAAAAATATACTACCTCCGTCCCGCTATATTCGTCCACTTTTGACTTTTGGAACTGTTCATCTAAGCACTTTGACTCATCAAATTTTGTCAATGTGTAAGCCTAAATATATTCATGTGTGATCTTGTTTGATTTGTCTTAACATATAGATTATTAATATATAATTTCTATAATTTTTTAATATACAAATTACAAGATAAAATGGATTAAAGAAGTGTATTGGATAGTGTGTAAAAATGAAAGTGGACAAATACTCTGGGACGGAGGGAGTAATAACTTTATGCATGCGTTGAATGTCCATCCCCATGCACGCCACCCACCGCTACCTCATGCGGCGGAGTTATGTTTCTCCTTAAGCAGGTGGTGGAGGAAAGTTTAAATCTGAGACACGGTAATATAGCGCACATGTGCTTCACCGCCACGAGCGGGAGCTTCATTAACCCCTGGAGGAGGAGGAGGCAGCAAAGCCACCGTGATAACATTTTCTCCCGCCGCCATGTCTTCGCCACGGGCTGCGTCCATCACGTGCTACACGTCGGTAAACTCGCTACGGTTGAAAAACAGAGGAGGGAAAGCCCCGCGCCAACCGCGGTTGCTGTGGAGCCTCATGTGGCCAAACAACGCCTGGCGGCTCTGGAACCACCTCGAGCACACCAAACACTGCGTGTTCGGCTGTGCCGACGGTGGCAGTGGCGGTGGCGGATGAGGTGCTACGACCACCGCCACGACGGCTGAGCGATCCGGTTGAGCAATGGCAAGGCGAGGGACGGAGGGGAAAGAGGAGTGCTACCGCCGCCAAAGGTTTGGCCGACTTCTCTTGATCTCTTCTTGGTGAGGTTGGTGGTCGCCACGACGGGTGGAGGACTGTTGCGAGTGGAGGAAGGAGAGTTGTCGGTGTTAGGCTAAGACATCGTTGCAGTTTTCCTTCCTCGGCTCATAGAAGTATGAGTAATCAATGATCCGGGGGATGGTGTGCTACATCAGTCTTTTTGATATACTAATTTCGCTATGCATCAGTTACTTAATCGTACTAGCAACGGTCTCGACGAAATAATTATTTGAGGCACCATCACTTCATCGTACTAACTCTAGTCTCGTCGAAATTAAATAACTATTTGAAGCACCGTTGCCTCATCGAACTAACATCGCTCTCGTTACGATAGTTATTCGCGCGTATTTTTATTCGCTCTAACACCGAGCTCCTCGGTAAAGATAATAATTATTTGAGCATGGCACGGGCCGGTCAAAAAAAATGTTGTACGTATTATTTTTTGCAGGAACAACATCTGATTCAAGAAAATAGAGAATTAATGAAGACTTAGAGGACTAGCAATATCAACCGGTCAATAATGCAAAGTACGCAGACTAAAGAGAGAACTCGGAGGACTTATTTTACTTTTTTAAGTTGATGATTCTCGTAACTTAAAAAAGTGGAGGACTTCTTGATGGGTAATAATACGTGGCTCGGCCAACATTTCCCAATTATTTACGAATAATAATCAACCGGGGCCTGTTTAGTAAAATGAAGGAATAAAAGAATATTCCACTGAAGATGCCCCCCTCCTCCATATAAAAGACGGGGTTGCCCTCAAAGTTAACGGGGCCAATTTACTCTCTTCCCTGCCCATGAATTCTTTTTCTCTCTCTAGATTGTATATTCTCTTCTCTTTCAAAGAGATTGAAGCTCCACACTTTCTCCATTAATGTCTTCTACGCCTAAATCACGTATCGTGTACAACCCCCAATATTAATAAAAATCCCCCATTGGCAAGGTACCGCTAAAAAAGGCACGTGGTTTCCTTCTGATTTGGGTTTCCACGTCAAAATTCCTGTTTTTATATTTTGGTGTATTTTTAGACTAGTTTATCGTTTTTGCCCGGCTAAAAACGATATACCGGTCGATAATTTACACCATCAAAAGTATACAATATACAATAATTTAGAGAGAGAAAGTAGTTTAGGCAGGGAAGGAGTAATTTTTGGCTTTTCTAACATTGATGGCAAACCCTCTCTTTTATAAGAGGGATGGGGAGCATATTCGGATGAATATTCTCTTATTCCTCCATTTTACTAAACATGCCTGGTTTGAGGGTTCTTCGTAAATAATTGGGAAATGTGGAACGGGCCACGTATTATTTCCCATTAAGAAGTCCTCCACTTTTTTAAGTTGTGAGAATCATCAACTTAAGAAAGTAAACAAGTCCTCCGAGTGTTATCTACAGTCTTTGTACTTTGGATTCTTGACCGGTTGATATTGCTAGTCCTTCGAGTCTTCATTAGTTCTCTAATTTCTTGAATCAGATGTTTTTCATGCAAAAAATAATACGTACAATATTTTTTGACTGGCCTATGCCGTGCTCAAATAATTATTATCTTTAGGTGTTAGGGTTATTAAAATACGCGCGGTTAACTATCGTAACAAGAGCGATGTTAGTTCAATGAAGTAACAGTGCTTCAAAAAGTTATTTCATTGAGGCCGGTGTTAATACGAGTCAAGCAAACGATGCATGACGAAATTAGTATACTGATGACAACAACGTTAGTTAATAAGAATTGAATACGATGCGGTAGCTTTGTTGGAGATCAGCGTTAGCTCGGCTGACTGATGTAAATATTCTTATGTCTCGCGGAGACCATCTTCGATAAAAGTGCCTCAGATAGAGGGCTTAAAATGAATCGGGCGTCCCCGATTTGAGCTCATCTCGCCTTTTTTCTGAAACCGATGTGCGACCGATGTACCCAATTCGACTCAGACTCGTTGGAAAATATGTGCAAGACCGGTGTGAGACCATTGTACGAGTTCGACTGGGTCACATATTTTCTTTATTTTTTATACTGCGCAAGACCGGTGTGAGACCAGTCTACCAGTTCGACTAGGTCGCAGTCTTTGTAATATGTGCAAGATCGGTGTGAGACCAGCGTACCAGGTTAGGCCTTTGTCACACATTTTTTTATTATACTGAGCAAAACCGGTGCAGTAACCAGCGTGCCAGACCGGGCTTGTGTCTGAGTCTTCCAAAGTTTTGTGAAACTCCAATTTATATTCGACCCATCAAAATTTACTCTGTATAATTTTGAGGAGCAAAACTGGTGCTTTTGATCCTCATCTTTGATACTTATGTGATAATTGCACATGCCCGGCCATTATTTGAGAAGAAACTCCCCTCAATAATGAATATAGCATATTATCTCACTCTTATGTGAATTCCACTAGCGTGAACTCTCCACCACACCTTCAATCTTGGTGCATCCCTTTTTTTATTAATGGGCCCATGTGTTTGATAAACCTTTACCATCTCTTCATGTATTTGATTTGAACTTTTACATCTTCCACTCTAATCTTTGTTTAGGAATATACTTGTCGCCTTGAGAAGATGGACCAATACAAACATTGTGCGACAAAGTGACTAGAAGCAGCGGACCCGTGAGGTAGACGACCTACCACGACGGCTGTGGGCAGGTAGGCTTCTCCATGTTCCTCTAGTCTTGTGGTAGATCTCAAACTACGGGTGGTGGCGGGTCTGAGCAGCGGCGACGGCGGGTCTGAGCAGTGGTGGTGGTGGGTCTGAGCAGCAGCGACGGTGGACTCCGGTAGCCGAGGGGGAGGCGACTATTAGGAGACGTCGATCAAGGGACAACGGATGCAGTTGGGGTGCTCCTTTCTCCCCCCCCCCTTTTTTTTTGTAAAATCGAAAAATCAGAACACCCACCCTTTGAGTTCAATTCCTTTCTCACTCTTGAATCACACACTTTTTTTAGGAAGCTCTCTACATCCCCATTTTTACTGCCACTCTCTCTTTTCTCTCATTTTTTTGTAAACTTTTAAAGAGCACTCAAACTTCCATTTCTCTCTTTCTCCGGAAATAATTCATATTTTGAATGAAGAATAAGAGATTTTGTGGTGGATACTTCGTGGGGCTGTGAACAGATCAAGGGATGATTGCCTAATTCAATCGGTCCCACGGATGGCTCCAAAATGATGATGTAAATTATCGACCAGTATATCGTTTTTAGCCGGACAAAAATGATAAACTGGTCTAAAAAATACACCAAATAATATAAACACAGGAATTTTGACGTGAAACCCAAATCGGGAGAAAACCACGAGCCTTTTTTGGCAGTACCTTGCCAATGAGGGATTTTTATTAATATCAGGGGTTGTACACGGTATATGATTTGGGCTCGAAAGCCATTAATGGAAGCTTGAAACTTCTTTGAAGAAATAAAATATACAATATACAATAGTCTAGAGAGAGAAAGCAATTTGGGCAGGGAAGGAGTGATTTTTGGTTTTTCTAACATTGAGGGCAAACCTCTTTTACAAGAAGGGAAACATCTTTATTTTTTACTAAACATGTCCAATTTGAATGTTCTTAATATTAATTAGGAAATGTGTGTATTATTTTCCCATTAGCCATTATTTGCGGGACGGGTGGCATGCGTGGAGAACAAGATGATTTTTTTCGAAATCAAATGGAAACGGGAGAAAATACTTTCCCCTTTCTAATCTTATTAAAACGCAAGAAAATAAAAAAAAATTTTCTTGAAAAATATGTTTCTCGATCAAAAACAACATTGTTTTTTCTTCAGCTTGTTGTATTATTAGGTGAGATCTTTTCTTCCGTCTACGATATTTTGATCCATTTCTTCACCTTCGATCCTACCAGATCCCAATAAGGTATTTGTTCTGCATGTATGCCCGGTGTCGCTCTCGTAATTATATTATATCAGTATATAATTACAATGTCCGCAGTTGAACTGCAGGAGCATTGATTGCGCTCGAGCTGGTTGGAGTCTGATGGGGTTATTCGATGGACTACCTATTCCTGCAAATAAAACGGTAATTTTCCGTTTAATTTCCCCTCACATCAAGAATGTTACTCAATTGTAATCTGTAGCGGATTTTAGGGCATTGCTGCTATTCATGATNGGGAGATTTGTTTATTTTTTTTAATCATTTGATCATTCTATAGAGATTGGTTTGTTGCTGTCTTACATTCTCATTGTGTTTAACTGAGGAATGCAGTACTTAAAGGAAGACCTGTCTAAGATAGATGAGAGCTGGGCAGCTGCACGGTTCGATTCTCTTCCGTATGTTGTGCATATTTTAACATCCAAAGATCGTGAAGGGGAAGTGCATGTTCTGAAGGAACAGAGTGAAATTGTCGAGGACATAGTGGATGAAGTAGTCCATTCCTATCATGTTGGTTTCAACAAAGCAATTCAAAATTATTCGCAGGTTTTTTAGCAAACAAGAAGAGACCCTCTCAGTCTGAGTCAATTATGCATTTATTTTGGTTTTGATGAGCTCAAGATTTTGAAACCCTCGAAGTCCAACTTTGTATCTGCTCTCTTTCCGTTTTTAGATTGTGAAAATGCTTCGAAGATTAAGTGTCTAATGGATTGCTTCCCCCACCCCACCCGTTCTCGTCTGCAGATTCTGCGTTTGTTCACTGAGTCGACCCAGAGCATTAGTGGTTTACAGGGTGATTTGACTGATTCAAAGAAACTTCTGGGCACCTGCAACAAGCAGTTACATCAGTTATGGTATAGATCGGTTACACTGCGACACATAATAGCCCTTTTGGATCAAATTGAAGGCATAGCGAAGGTGATGTTTTAATTTTCCTATTTCTATTTACTGTTAACGCAGAAGCACTCAATCACACACACACACACACACGCTCTCTCTCCCTCTATTTTCTTTTTTCTTTTTGGTAATCATGAACCTTTGGGGAGCCAGACCACATAAACTAGTTTGTTGAACTAGGAAAACCCAAAGCCCTTATAATTTGTATTAATTTGATGTGCCAAATGCTAATAGGATCTTGACAATGACTTTCATCTCTTCTTTCAATGATTTATAACTATGTTTCTCATTTAGGAATCACACTAAAATGCCTCCTTGAAAGTAGTACTTCAAGTCCCAATGAACTTATTGCCCACAATGGCACACACCAATTTCTTAGTGTCGGCTTACAGTTAACGGCGACCTGTTATTTTCCCACCAATGTTTGTGCTGCTTGTGTACTACTTCATCTGGTCCTTATCATAAGGCACGTCTTCGGCTTTCACACGGGCCATGAATGGATAAACGCTTTTATTCATAATTTTCATTTTCTTATTATGCCCTTAAACAAATTTTGGGTGATTAAGTTTTAGAGTTTTCAAGGGGAACAAATTTTGGGTGAATAAGTTTTAGAGTTTTCAAATTTTGTGCATTGATGATACAAAAATGACTTATATTTAGGACTACCATAATTCTCCATTCGTCCCACTTTTTTTAGGACATGAGGGGATGACACAGAAATTAAGAAAAATAAGACTGTGGGGTTGATATTGATGTAAAAAAGTAAAATAAAGTGGGACAAACACAAATATGACCAAATATGGTATGCGACAAAAATAGTGGGACAAACAAAAAGGTAAAAATGGATAAAAATAATGTGACGGAGGAAGTATGACTCATAAATAGGACTGGAGTAAGAACTAATTTTGAATCACTCTAAATTCATAGTTTGACTATTTAGATTGGCATTATTGAAAACTTTCTTTTTTATTCTACACCTTGGACCTGGTCCCTATGGGGAGTTTATTTCAAGTACTTGACCTTGTTGATCCATGTCTCATCAAGATTGTGAAAAGCACGTTTCATATATTTGAGGTTTGCTAACATTAACTTAGTGTTGGTGGACATGTCAATAATCCCATTACATTACACCGTTGCATAGTTGTACCCGACTAGCTTGCTTGCTATGATTCGCTGTTGGGTACTTGAGAGAAAATAAGATTGATCCTTACTGTGAATATCAACAACAATAGATAGTATGATTCACCCGTGCATACACTATGTGTAGTTCCTTGCAATTGAAGATGTATTTCAGTCCAAGGCAAACAGATTCCATTCATGTTTTGTTTGAAAGAGAGTTATCTCAAACGAACACAAAGTTTTCATTCACAACGATCCCAAATGTTCATGGCATTTTTCATATCAATAGGTGGCCAGTGCAATGTAAATCTAAGATTATGATTTCTCTCTCAAGTGTTTGTTCTCTTTTCCTTACTGGCTACTGCTTTTTTCCTTTAAGAACACCTAAACAAATCACTACCTTTTCTGTCTTCATGTGTGATTAATTTTCCATTTTGTCTATTATAATAAATGCCAGATACCAACTCGGATTGAGAAGCTAATTGCTGAAAAAAAGTTCTATGCTGCAGTGCAATTGCAGGTTCGATCTGCTCTGATGCTTGAAAGAGAGGGCCTTCAAACAGTAAGTTTACTTGACAATCATATTCCTTTAGTTGATTTGCACTTTTTGTGTTTTCCATAGAAATTGTGATACCCTAGGAAAATCCAACATAGGTAGCATACTGAGGTCTTCTAAGAGTGTGAGGCTCACCTTGAGGTAAGCATCACTAGTCTAGGACATGAGTCATGAGTCATGACAAAAGTCAACATCACACTTGACTTATCTAGTTCTTACTTTCTTAACTTTTGGATTCTCTCTCTTCTTCTAACACCAACAACCCAGTAGAATCTCACGGGAGTGTGGGGAGAGTGTGGTTACCCAGAGCCCCAATAGAAGCATAGATGGGTAAAGAAGCACAGAGCAAGCTAAAGATAGAAAAAAACAAGCACCAAGTGTATGAAGCACACAACCACACACACCGGCAAGCACTTAAACTACCACCAAACTCAAATGCCTTCTCAATTATCCTTGTCCTATCTTTCCAAACGCTCTAAGATCATATCTTCGCTAAGGGCCAAAAGTCTAAGGTCATGTCAAACCACCTCTTTCCAACTTTTCTTAGAAAAATAGAATTGGAACCGAATACCCGAACTGAATTATCTGAAACCGAAATGATCCGAAAAATGAAGATCCGATCTATAACCAAAAACCCAAAATGATCCGAACCAAAACCAAATTAAATAATTCTAAACTGATTATATCCGAAACCGATCATATCCAAAACGATTAAACCCGAAACCGATTAGATCCGAAACTTTTTAGAACTAAAACCGATACAATCTGAAACTGTGTTTTCCTTTTCAATAAGCATATTATATTTTTATATTTTAACTTTTATTTTACCATATGAATTAATTACATTACTTGCTCATTTCCTCATAAAATGGATTACCATCTATAAAAAAATTTATAAAACTTTATGTCTTAAATTTATTATATTTAGAAATTGCACAAAAGTTATACATATAAAATATGGGATGAATAAAGTGACCCAACTATTTTGTTATTAACAAAATTAAAGCTAATAAAATATATGAAAAACAAGGTGAAGCATCAGTTGAAAGAAATTAGGTCTGAGAGTTGAAGGTGTGTAGGAATTGAGAAATGGGCTGAATGGTGGTGTAAAAAAAGTGATAAGATTAAGGAGGGAAACTGGGAAAGTAAAAAAAAATCCTTCCATCTCAGAAAGAATGCTACATAACGCAAAACAAAACGAAATTTTAAGTTTTTAAATTAATTTTATTTAAAGATTGATATAGAAATAATATTTTTTATATATTTAAAAAAATACGTCAAAAGTTTTACAAAATAAGAGGTTACTAGAATAATAGTTTATTTCATCAAATAATGAATGAAAATGCACAAATAAATAAAAATGTTATAATTTTTAAATAGTGAAGTATGATATTCTTTTTGGGACAGAAGGATTATTTGATGAATTGTATGGAAACACTAGATTTTATTCTAATTTCATCCAATTACAATAAATTTTATTGGTTTGGGAGTTAATTTGATTAGTTTCAAACCAATTCACCCAATATTACTCAATAACGTTAGAAGTTAGCGTTATCATTTTGAAAAGGCTCTCCAGTGGCAGCGTTTAGTGTTATCATATTCAAATTTGATCTTCACCATTAAATTTAGGTATACATTTAATTATATTTGACTCTATTGAATTTAATTTTATCTAATTTCAACCAAATACACTCACATAATTTATAAAATTTGCACTCAATTGTATTGATCTCATTCAATTCTATCAATTTTTAGGAGTAATATTTAATAAAATTCACTAAATTTCACCTAATTTCACTCAATTTTTACCAAATTGTATTCAATTGAAGCGTAACACTATTTGAATTTATCTTTTATCTTTGCATTTATAAACATAAAGGTATTAATAGTTGTGATAAAAATTCGATATATCAAAACTAAATTTTAAAATCAATTTAATTATATTAATTTTATATCATAATTAAATATATATTTTTTCATAGCTTGTCGTCCAAATTTGTAAAATATGACTAATAAGTCAAAAAGAAAGGTTATTTAGGGTGGAGATAGTATATTTAGAAAAAATATAAATGTGATAAAAAAGAAACATGAATAATTAAATTTTAATTAGAAAATAAAATATCCAAAATATATTCGATCGAAATATATCCAAACTGAAACATATTCAAAGCCAAAATATATCCGAACCAAACTAGATCCAAAATCGAAATATATCTGATCCAAATTGTATCCGAACCAAAATCTATCCGAACCGACTCGAAACCGAACCAAAATCGAAAAATGTAGAGAACCGAATCAAATATGAACCGAAATTTAACCGAACTGATTATAACATATATCCGAACTAAAAAAATCCATTCCGGTTGACCCGATTGCCACCTTTAGATTTATCCCTTCCCACATTCCTGCCCACCACTGGAAGCTTCTCACATCTCCCCACAGGAGCGTGAGCACTCTGTCATTTCATATGCCCAAACCACCTCAACGTAGCTTCCCGCAACTTATCCTCGAGAGAAGTCACTCCAACCCATCCTCGGATAACCCTGTTCAGAATCCAAAGTATCCAACCTTGTCTACCGGACTACCGACACATTCACTGTAGCATCCGCATCTCGGCAACACGCAGTTGGCGAATGTGAGTTTTCTATACCGCCCAGCATTCTGCTCCGTACGATATAGCTGGCCTGACAACGGAACTGTTGAAGCTCCCTTTCATCCTTGCCAAACTCTTCTTGTCGTAGAGTACCCCCGAAGCCTACTTCCACTTGGCCCAAACACCTCTAATATGGTGAGCAACCGTAGTTGTTAATGCATCGCCTAGGCAATAAGGCGCAATAGCATGACAATAGCTTAGGTTAAATTGCATACATTTAATCGTAACAGGCATTTACAACTTCATGATTAAAGTTGAAAGCTCATTTTGTGACTGATTACACATGGACCCTATTTCTTAGGTCGGGGCTCTGCAAGATGTTAAATCTGAATTGTCAAAGCTCCGAGGAGTTCTCTTCTACAAGGTATTGGAGGATCTGCATGCTCATCTATATCACAATGGTGAATACAGGTAATGATATTGTTAAAATGAAGTGGATATCATCATTCAGCTTACAGAATACAATAAGAGAATACCAGATTTATGACAACGTGGATCAAAGACAAAGGGATTACACGTCGGCATTAGGGTGGCTATAGGTATGCTAAGATTTCTAAAAGGACAGTTGTAGGGGTATAGGTGTGTAGGGACTGCTGATATGATTAAGATGATTTGAACATTTAAGTAATTCAACACATACAAGCTCCATATGGTTGGATATGTGATGCTTGAAACATGCGACTTTACCATAGAATATGTTAAGATTGCTAAAAAGGATAGTTGTAGGGGTATATGTGTGTTGTAGAAACTACTAATATGATTAAACCCTTATTTGGCGAGCAAAACAGTGTTGGGATGGAGTGAGCTCGAAAATCTAGAAAGAATGGAATAGGTTTGAAAACCTGGATATGGTTATCTTGGAATGCCACATTTCGTGATTTGTAGGTTGACTTTACAATATCAATCTGGTAATGGAACATGGCAGTATCAGATATCTCAACTTGTTATGTTCTCATGATATTTTTCATGCATGTGGAGAAGCATGAAAAACATTATCTCATCATTCTTCTTGCGTAGGTTGCTCTAGGAAGGGCATCTGAAGTAAAACACTAACACTGCTTCTTGCATGAATTTATAGTGTTAATTACCTTTATACAATTAATTTGCATTAGAATTTTAATGCAACTGATCCCAACCAGTTGTTATTAAATGCTGATAATGATGATGATGATGATGATGATGATTGTTGTTACTCTCTTTGGACTATTGCAGTAGCTAAAGTTTTCCTTACAATGCAGTCCACCTCTGCTAGGTATCAATGAAAGGGAGGATAAAATCCCAACAGCGGCAACCATCACATTGTCTCAAAAAGCCATGCAAGGCGAACATCAGTTTGGGTCGTTAGGAGTTGGCAATGGATTTGTAAAGCTATGTTCTGTTGCTATGGGGTAAGACAATTAACTATATTATACTTTCATGTGAGCTGCCAGATATCCATCTTCAACTTTAATGAAAATTTGGCTTTCTTGTACCTTTGATTTTCCTGTGAACAATATTTAACTTGATGCATTCTCTTAGTGATTTTATCTGTTATAAATGATATCATGTTATACACATAAGTTCATAATTGTTTTTATGTTTCCGAATAAACCTTTGATTGATACTGCATTTGAAGTTCGAAACTATTTTTATTTTCTTTCTCTTCTATATTTTTTTTGCATTAAAACCTAACCACGAGCTTCAATCTTTCACTTGCCCTACTTCGATGCTAGTGGCTAGAATAATAAATTGAGATTGTGGATCTTGTAATGTTTAGAAAAACGCATGATTGAAGTTAATTATTACTTACTCCCTCCGTCACATAAATAAAGTCCAGTTTCTTAAAATATTTTGGTCCCACAAAAAGTATTTTCTTACAAATCAAGCTAATTTTCAATGCATGTAATGTTTTTAATTAAAAAAGTGTCACAACAACAACAAAAACAAAGCCTTATTCCACTAGGTGGGGTCGGCTACATGGATCAAACAACGCCATTGCGCCCTATCGTGTAGTATCATATATGCTGTGAGATTGTTCACGCGAAGGTCTCCCTTGATCAATGCTTGCCACGTCCTCTTAGCCTCTTAGGTCTACCTCCACCTCCAGCCACATGCCTATTCACCATTTGATCAACTCTTCTCACGGGATGCTCTATTGGTCTTCTCTCCACATGTCCAAACCACCTAAGACGAGTTTCCACCATCTTTGCTACAATAGGTGCAACTCCAACTTTAGCTCTCATATCTTCTTTCCTTATTCTATCCATACGTGTATGACCGCTCATACGAAGCATATTCATTTCCGTCACACTAACCTTGTGTTCATGTTCACCCTTTGCTGCCCAACACTCTGTCCCACCATACAATATAGTTGGTCTAATAGCAGTACGGTAAAATTTTCCATTTAGTTTAAAGGTACTTATTTGTCACATATAAAGCTTGAAGCACTCCACCATTTTGACCAACCGGCTTGAACCCTGTGATTAACATCATCTTGTATTTCTCCATTGTCTTGAATGATACACCCAAGATATTTAAATCTCTTTACTTGTGGTATAGTATTTTCTCCAACTCTCACCTTGATGTTACTGTCTCTCCTGTTTCCAAACTGTCACAATTGAATTAAATATGTTAGATTCAGTTTAACCGACAAACAAATTTTAAAATAAAGCTATTTTGAGTGGGATGTACCTTGTTGAAACAAATTTCTTGTGTTATGCAAGTCTTGACTTATAGTTCAACTATAAGCATAACACAAACACTACAGTTTATATTAAAAATTACTCTGGAATAAAGATTAAAAGTTTCTACTAATATGTGACAACAATGCTGTCTGTACTTTTAATTCCACAAAATTCTCAGCTCTTCACTCAATGCCAGGGAGGATGATGGTGTGCTGGAACATCATGAAGCTACATCAGATTCTAATAGTGGTGATTGCGCTCAAAAGGATGCCAAAGTTTCTATTAATCAAGCTCCTACATGGCTTTCAGATTCCACGCCTGATGAATTTATTGTATGGTTGATGCCATTCCTACTTATGATGTCTGTGAAACTTGGCACTTGTTAATCCATTTAATCAAGGCTGAATTTTTTTATGGTTTGAGTTTAGGAAATAATGAGAAAGAGTGATGCTCCATTGCACATGAAGTATTTGCAGACCATGGTCGAGTGCCTTTGCATGCTTGGAAAAGTTGCTGCTTGTGGTGCCATAATATGGTGCGTTGTCACTTATATGCTCTTGGATCATTTGTAGCTAATGCTTGAAGTAATTTTGTACAGACATATATGTTACAATGTTAGATCGGAGATTGTACTGTAGCACCTTCAGAATTTGTAACAACGTTAGGTAGAATGTGATGTAACAACTTCAGAATATGTTGAAACAAAAGGTACTTTAACATTTGATATGCTTAGAGTCTGCATTTGGCTACCCTTTTCAATTCAAATCTATTGTTGTAGTTGACACAACGTTGTCTGCACTGCATTTGAGTGGGTTACACATGTATTTTATACCTTTCCATGTGTGTTACTCCATGTTAAATTTAATTTGTGGTACTCGCTTTTTAGTTTCTTGCTGCGAGAATACTCAAGCTATGACTAATTGTTCCACCATGCATAGTATAAATTGTTCAGCATGCAATTTATTTTAGATGAGAACAAAAAACAATTAAAGCTTGTACCAGAAAAGGTAACCCACTAACACTTAAAACATGTTAGCGACAACTTTACTTTTAGAATGTTATTCTCTTTTGATAATGATATTTTCTTGAAACCGTATTTGATTCATTCTCCTCTGTTGTTTGTTTAACAGCCAAAGATTTAGGCCAACAGTACATGAGATAATCACTACCAAGATCAAATCTATTGCCAAAAATAGAAATAGTTCAGAGCATGACAGCGGTTCATGTCCTCAGACTGCAATTATAGGTCAACACCTTCTGAAAGGAAAATTTGAGAGGTACCCGTCACTGGAACAGAAATGTCAAAATGGGGTATCACTGGCTGGCGTGGTGCTCACTGTTAGTCATCTCTCACCTGTAATGGCTCCTAAGGGGAAAGCACATGTGGCTGCAAAGGAGCTTCTTGATTCAATTTTGGATGCTGCTGTTTGCATATTTGGTCAGGATTTCTAAGTTTTGGAAATCCATTTGTGCTTATTTTTCTTTATTATTTATATTATTATTATTATTATTATTATTATTATTATCATTATTAATATTATTATAATTGTTATTTGCACGAATATTGGCTCATGATCCGTTTGTGTATTTGCAATATCAATCTTATAATATATAATGACTATAGTATCAATCTTTACCTATTGGCTATTGCCATCTCTTGATATTTCCCATGCAAGTGCAAATAACATTTGGTGCCGACTGTTTTGAGATTCCATCTCATCATTCCTTCATAAGAAGGTTGTGACAGGAAGGGCATGAGACTTAAAACTTTGTTTCTACACTCTTTTTGCAAGAGTTTCAGACCAGTAATTAGCCGCATAAATTTCATACTGCTGACCCCAAATTTTTGAGTGTTAACTTATTTTAGACCAGTAATTATGCATATAAATTTCATGCCACTGACTCCAACTTGTCGATAATAATTCTTATTGTTATTTTAATATTGATGCTAGAGATCAAGAGCTGTATCTTTTGCCTTCATATTCATGTGTAATGGTGAAACTTTTTCAGAAAACCACATGTTTGTTGGCGAGCTTCTCGATTCTAAATCTTTGCAGCAAGTTGACTTGAACACACCAAGGTCTATGCCAACTGATATTAATTGGAATCAAGATTCAGATGTATATCGTGATACTGGAGGCTATAGTATTAGCTTTTCCTTAAATGTCTTACAGGTTTCTTACACCCTCTCTTTTTGTTATTTGCATTATGGATTTACAGTCCTATCTGTCATGCATTTGGTTCGTTTGATTACAACACACATGCATACATTTATGATATGTGCATGCATCACTTACACTCTATTCTGCTAACTGTGAAATAGAGCGAATGTCAACAATTGATTTGTGAAATCCTACGAGCAACTCCTGAAGCTGCTTCTGCTGATGCTGCTGTCCATACAGCCAGATTTGCGAGCAAGACACCTTCAGAGGATAAGAGGCAAGTCAATGAAATGCTGTAGGAAAATACACTCAAGGGCAGGCATACTGGTAGGGAATGTTGCAGGCATTTATATGCCAGCACAAAATAATTTTCTAGTAACTCGTAAACTCATTTAAATTCAAAATTCATATCCGGAAATCATTTAAAAGCAGAAGTTTTAGAAACAAGACATGTTTCCATAAATGTTAACACGTCAATATCGTGCCTTAAACTTTTGATGTATTCTGTCTTATTTTTGTTCTGATATTTGTAATTACTTGTTTATTATGTTTCCATATTCACTTCTCAGTGCTTAAGATAAAAGAAGATTATATACACAAATTCTAAGAATTTTGTTTCGCAGTTGGAACAAGATAGCACTAGTGTGTTTATCATTGATATATCTGGGCCCGAGCCTATCATACCCTCCCCCATATCCCACACCCTCATGGAAACCAAAGGACTTAGGTTCAAACATTATGATCCATTTTAGTGAGAATTCAATGTCCTTTAGCCCGAAAGGCCAAAATAACTTTCGTTTTTGACCTAAGGGTTCCGCTGGTCAACCCCCTTTTCCGTCCAACCCAACCCCAAACATCCAAAAGTATTTTATTTCCTTTTGATATNTTGGCTGAATACATCCCCCAAAATCAGCCCAAAAGAAGGCCATTCATTCCCCCTGGTTTGCTTTTCATTGGAGGCCCTACAACCACACCCATCCCTGATTTTATTCCAATAAAAGGACCTCAAAACATGGCTGATATTTCAGGGATTTGAGAGAGGATGTTGCTAGGAAGCTTCCTTATGTTCACATTCATTGCATTGTGTATTATTTCCCCCTTCCCCTGCCTATATAACTCAGGCCTTATGGCCATTGTAACACAATCTTTGAATATTAAAAACTCCTTTTACTCTTTGAGTATTTATAAAATAGTGTGATGCTATTTTAGCCAAATTCCTAATTCTACATCTCAAGAGTGGTTATCTTAAGTGTGAGTTTTAGGTTCTAGATATTTGATTAAGTGTGTAATATCTTAATTGAATTCTAGATTCAAACCCCAAGTTAGGATAAGAGTGTGTAATATCTCCTAACACCAACTTGGTTTTATCCATCCGTGATATTTCTTCCATTTCATATCCCTCCATTTCTCCTTCTTAATCATATTCTTTTTCTTCCATAAAATACCAAAAAAGAACTCCTAAAACACCCTCCATACTTTCGCCCACTATTTCCCTTCCATTTTCCTCCGCACATCCGCCACTAAATTATCAACTTGATAAGACCCCCGGTTTACCCCTAACAATCATGCCCTTTTTCCCAATCTTGTTGTAGAAAATGTACTTCCATCCTTGGATATGAAACATGATTTCTAAACTTAGAGTCAAGAATGTTTTGCAAGGACTACAAAATAAGTTAGTAGTGAGGATACCCATTCTATGATTTCATGTTTTACAATGCATATTTATACTCAACATATCCTCTCATGCATGTCAATATTCTTTTGACGAGTTAAATATGGTATGTGGATAAGTGGATTGAACCCATAGCCCCTACTTTCTCTTATACCATGTTGAAGAATGTGTTTTGCCTCATCCAAAGGCTTATGCCTTTGTTGTGAGGATACAAATGGGTTATTTTGTACAGTTTTTGAACTTTTATTTAAATCAAAAGAGCTCTTTGTTATTTACTGTGTATTTGGTAACCAAAGCTGAAGAAAACTCCAATGAAGTTAAGTGTGTAATATTAGAGAGTTAGTTATTGAAAGTTTGGTGTATTTATTTGTTCTTAACTTTTTTATATGTCATGGATCATATATAAACTATGGTAGGGTGGTGTCTTGTTTTTTAAAAGCTCTTTGAATTTAGAAATTGTAGTGCTTGACTAAGACTGATTTTCGAATTCCATTGTTTTGATTTGACTTTCTAAATGTTTATTTATTAAATTATATAATGCTTATTCGTTGTAGAGATGGATCTGGAGATGGTTTTTCGTTTGCTTTTCGCTTCACAGATGCTACTGTATCTGTTCCAAAACATGGTAATTAAACATGTCCCATATCAAAACTTTTAAAATATCTGGTTTCATTTCTGGAATGAACCTCATCTCATGTTAAAAATGCAATTATTGTTTGGTGTAGCGCTAAAATATTGTCAACCAGTATATGTACCATGAAAGTTTAAGGTCTTCTGTCAGTGATAGACTGATGAAAGGTTTAAAAATCCTACTTTCCAAAAGAAGAAATGAAAGAAAAACAAAAAATAGTACTGCATTAAACATGTGATGATTATGCATGCCTTGGCACCTTGCATCTGAATGAGGTCATTAATTTATCCCTTTACATACATTCAAATTTCATTCATTTCCTAGTAAATTCATAATCAAGCTTTGCAATGGGGACTTTTTGTTTACTCCCTCTTCTAAAAAAGGTTTCACATATCTTTTTTTGTTTGTCCCAAAATAAGGTTCCACTTTCCTTTTCAAGAAATGGTTATATGGCTTACATCATTTCTTTCTCTCTTGCATTACTATCAACCAATCAATTTCAGTTTTCGTTGTTACCATGTCCGGTCAAATGTGGAACCTTAATTGGGGACGGAGGGAGTACTATTTTTTCTTTCCTCAGTTTTGAGGGTTTCTCGTCTTCAGTACATCCCCCGATGTTATTTTTCTGTGATATTTGGGATTCAGGAGGTGACTTAATCAGACAAGGGTGGAGTATGAAGGCCTCAAGTGTGGTTAAAGAAGGTTATGGCACTGCAGCAGCTTTGCCAGAACAGGGGCTATATTTAGCAGCATCTTTATACCGACCTGTTCTTGAGGTTTGGATTGTCCCAGCTCTCTTGTTTTCTTAAGTATGTTGATTTTCCCAACTAATTATTTCTCCTGACTTTCTTGCAGTTCACTGATAAAGTTACTTCATTGCTACCTCAGAAGTTTTCCCACCTTGGGTAAGCTTGATTAAGTTGCATGCTTCGTTGGTGCATGTTTGAGACATCTTAGTCTCCAACAGGACATTGAAAACGAGCAGCCTTCACACTATTTTCTTTACAGCGCTGAAAAGATAAGTTGGGAGGGATTGGCGAGTTGCAGCAACTGAAGTTGACATTTTTGTTAACATAAGTACATCTGGAGTTGAACAGTGTAAAAAGCTTAATTAAGAATTTGAATCACGTTTTTTTCTTTTTTTTGCAAATAAAGTTAAGGCTACTATTTGACAACAACAAGAACAACCCAGTTAAATCCCACAAAATAGGGTCTGGGGAGGGTGTGCGTACGCAGACTTGACCCCTGCTATTTGAGAAGCAAAGGAAAAATCATGTGATAGGATGGGGGGACAAAGTAGTGAATGAATGCATAGGAGTGCTTTTGGAAACCAAACATGCCCCTGTAAATATGATTTCTATACGCTGGTCAAGTGAAAATCTTGAAGATTAAAAGTAAAACTGACAGCCAACAAAAGAGTGAAACTGAAGAAGATTTCACGAAATCAGATATACTACGTAGCATTTTTCCTTTAGAAGTATTTACAATGGGCGAGCTATGAGTTGGCTTGGTCACAAATGATGTACATGTATAAAATGAATTTCTATGCAATTTGGAGATTAAAAAGATTAAGGATTATGATTTGCATAAATAGAAATATTTACAGGATTTAAATAATTTAATTTTATCTCCAAAGTTAACATTTTTTAGTGCATTAAATATATCTGTTAGAGAAATTTTCTAATCTGTTTGTATGCATTTTAATGTTTGAAATTTGTAGGAAGGATGGGCTGCTGACATTTGTGGAGAACTTTGTGAAGGATCACTTCTTACCAGCACTGTTTGTAGATTACAGGAAAGCTGTACAGCGGGCTATAGCAAGCAAGTTCTTTTTCTTTTTTCACATTCTACAATAATTGATATCATTGACATCCTTGGTAAGTGTGAATAATAGAGATAATCTTAGTATATTTTCATATCTATTTTGTAGAGTACAAGGGTATAAGTAGACTAGAAAAGCTACTTATGACATCATGGGTGGCCTCAGGCGTGCTTACATCTTGGGTGACCTGAATGCTACTTAATACGAAATATTCCTAACTTCACAACTAGTATTTCACACTCCCCTTCAAACTGGAGTATATAGATAATATATTCCAAGCTTGTTACAAATGTATTATATTTTGGGTCCTCTTAATTCTTAAGGCCTTTGTCAAACGACCGACTGATCTTCTATCCACCCTAGATTGTGGTGATATGTCGAGTGCAATCTTCTCTCAGATGAAGTTATATTTGATCATCACATAGGAGGCGTACTGTTCTACTATATGCTGCCATATTTTAGTTCTTGGAGATGTTTCAGTGACATGATTTCACATGTTGCAAGGGCCATTGCACAAAAACAACCCAGTGGAATCCCACGAGAGTAGGCTCTAGGTTTTCAACAACAACAACCCTGTATAATCCCATAAAAGAAGAGTCTGGGGGGTGCGCAGACCGTACCCCTACTAAAAGTAGAGAGCTTAGGGTCTCGGTTTTCCAAGAAATTAAACTCTTACCAATTACACTACAGTAGCCAGAAGTAGATTTGCCCAGAAGTAGATCTCTATCGATTCGACAACCAGTCCAATTTGCATCACATTACCCCAAATGTTATTATGACCTCTGCCTTTATAGAAAAGTTTTTGCCCTGTAGTGCTTTAATTTTATCTTAGAGCTAGAATCACAACATCCTATTGGCCGTCTCAAAGCTTGCTGAAAAATGACTTAGCGCACTTATGGGGAATGAAACATTAAAAAGTTGTGATTGTGAAGTAATTCAGTTTCCAACAAGCCATCTAAATCTTTCTTTATTGGATAGTGCCTCATCCCCCTCCCCTGTAACGGCACTAACTTAGCATTTGGATCCGTGCGAGTACCAATTTGTCCACACTCCAGCATCTCAGTTTCTTCAAGTATATCCAGAGCATATTTTTTGTGAGTCAGAACAATACCGCTACCGCCACCTGATTGTGCAACTTCAATGCGAAGAAAGTACTTCACTCTCCCTGAATCTTTTGTTTGGAATGTTTTGAAAAATATTGCTTTAATAAGTAAATCGTGCTAAGCCACAACCTCTAATAACAATAGCATCAACATAAACTACCAAATAGATACTTTTGTTATTGGTTGAATGTGGTCACAAACAGAATCATCATCAACAGTTCAGTACATGCTAAATTCTTGAACAACAAT